TCTGACGCCGCTTGGTCAAATCTGTAAATTACAAAATTGCCACTGCCTATAACGCATCGTTTCTCCTCCGTCAATATTGTCATTTCTTCTTCTCCCACCACTTCCCCTTCCAAGATATCCCCAAATTGAACCCCTAACTTAGTAAAACTCAAGATCCAAAAATTGATCGATTCCACCCAGTGCGAAGAAAAAAAATATATGAATGTGTGAAATTTTCTCTTTTCTAATCACGAGAGTCAAAATCGAAAAAAATCAACATTTACGTCAATATTTTGACTCTTGACCAAATGGTGTCAGAGTCAAAATCGAAAAAAGTTGACGAATAGGGCTGTATTGGGAAATTGTACAAGTACAAGGGGGTAAATCGATGAAATTGAGAGTACGAGGGGGTAAAGAATTGGACAAAATACAGGATTTTAATTTTAACTTGCAATGGCTTATGTATCAAATTTTAATAATTTAGTAGCATTTATTTATAACCATGGATTTATTTTATGTTATTAGTTTCAATTTTAGTATCAGACTTGTTTAGTTGGTACTTTTTATAATAATAGACTTGTTTTACATTTACCTTGTGAATTAGGTTCCCTTTATGATTCAATATTTTGCTAATGATAGTTTACATTCTCAAATATTTAATGTATTTATCATTTTTGTTAACAGGTCAAATATGGAAATTTACGATATTATGATATCGATGATGATCTATTGGTACACACAAATTCGTCCGAGATATTTGATGCGCGTACCAAGAAACAGAGATAATAATTCAGCATTGTCAGGACATGCTTATACATTGGAGCTCTTGTCTGGATCAGACACACACAATGCATTGAATTAATGCGCATGTCTCGTGTTGCATATATTCGTTTGAGCATGCATTTTAGACAACGAGGGTGGCTGCATGATAGTAGACATGTATCAGTAGAAGAAATAATGGCAATGTTCTTGCAAATTATTGGGCATAATAAGCGTCTTCGTGTAGTGAAGCGTAGATTTCAACACTATTCACAAACAGTTCATGCGTATTTTCACGAAGTGTTGAGTGCAATGATGAATATGGCAAGGGATATAATAGTACCAACAACATTTGACCCAAATCCAAATATTTCGGCAAGTTTTAGGAGGTTACACCGAATTTTTAAGGTAGATATTGTGTGTCGCTCTATTTTTTTATCATTATTTAATTCTCTTCTTGTTTTTGTAACTTATTTTTATCTTATTGTAGGGAGCAGTAGGTGCAATATTACTCGAAGAAAATGAGGTAACACCAGGATTTTGATCTTGGGAACTAGGTCCCCAAGAATGAACACCAGTAGCAGTGGCACCGTCGAATAGTGCTCTACAAAGATCAGGATAATGTAGAGGTGCAGGTCTTAAACTCTTTGCCTTAGGATGAGCCTGTATTGAAGTATCAAATTATAATTCTTAATAAAATCTTATAATTACTAATAAAAGTTAGATAAACCAATAAAAACCTAAACAAAAAACCTTTATATACTCTGTCCACTCTTCCTTTGTCATGTTGATGGTGTTGGTGGCATGATTGTAAATATTGCTTGTTTTCATAGTTAACGGCAACCAAGCTTGATACTTTTGTTTTAAGTAGTCATATCGATTCTTCACTTGTCTTTGACAAACAACAAAGTTATGATTTTTCTTCAAAGTGTTCATAATTGTGGCCCAAGATTCTGACATCAGACTACCTCCTTCTCTACCATTTAGAGCAACTTCTTGGATACACGCTTCGAGAAAACATTTATCTACTTCACTGTTGTTCCATCTGACTCTATTATTTTCATCCGATTCCTCCATTCCTATATTCATGAATATTTATTCTTCAAAGATAACCCTCACGAGTTGTGATTAAAAAATAGAAATAAATGTCACGGTGGTATTGATAATTTGCAATTAGCCGAAGCTTCAAGAGTAGTTTTTGTAGTGAACGATTTTTTTAAATGCTAAATAGATGAAGACTATGTAATGAGATATTGCATGCTTATCGTATCTTTAATTACGTATTCTTATTTATGGATCATTGGACCAAAGCAGTATTTCTTTATTCCATCGAAAATCAAAACGACTTAACCTAAAAAAAATCATGTCTAGGGCAAATTGTACACAGTACGCACGAATCGGCTGAAGCCTGAAAGATCACTCCATATAAAATATAGGGTAAATTCCACTTTACCCCCTCGTACTCTGCCCAAGAACCACTTTACCCCCTCGTACTCTCAATTTCATCGATTTACCCCCTTGTACTTGTACAATTTCCCAATACAGCCCTCTTCGTCAACTTTTTTCGATTTTGACTCTGACACCATTTGGTCAAGAGTCAAAATATTGACGTAAATGTTGATTTTTTTCGATTTTGACTCTCGTGATTAGAAAAGAGAAAATTTCACACATTCATATATTTTTTTTCTTCGCACTGGGTGGAATCGATCAATTTTTGGATCTTGAGTTTTACTAAGTTAGGGGTTCAATTTGGGGATATCTTGGAAGGGGAAGTGGTGGGAGAAGAAGAAATGACAATATTGACGGAGGAGAAACGATGCGTTATAGGCAGTGGCAATTTTATAATTTACAGATTTGACCAAGCGGCGTCAGAGTCAAAATTGCCAAAAGTTGAAGGAGAGGGCTGTATTGAAAAATTGTACAAGTACAATGAGGTAAATCGATGAAACTGAGAGTACAAGGGGGTAAAGTGGTTCTCGGGTAGAGTACGAGGGGTAAAGCGGAATTTACCCTAAAATATATATATATTCAATTCCTGAGGGTTCACTCCAATATAATATATATATATATATATATATATATATATATATATATATATATATATTCAATTTACAAAAAATAAAATCTCAAATCAGGAGAAGTACATGATTTTGAGAATATATAGCTACGACATAATGGTCAGAAGTGCGAGAAACATCAACATTAAAAAATTGCTACGAATCAAAAAAAAAAAAAATCACAGGGCAGATCGATTTTTGTATAACGATCCCTGCTCAATTATATATTAATTTGTGTATAATTATAAATTGCAGATTGTTGGCAAGAAAGATTTCATCGATCTTGAAGATTGTAGCAGATCACAATGATAGGAATTTACAGTTATTGAGAATATTTAGTTACTATAAATATGTAAACTACCTAGAATAAGATATACGATTCTTATAGCAAATACATGTATATATATTTACCTCATGAAGAGAAGAAAAATTAATTCCTCAAATATTGAGTTTCTACATGGTACCAGAGCAGGTTGATAATCAATCATCCTATTGAATTCTTATTTTTTTCTTTTCCGAATCAAAGCCGGAACTCTAGAATCATGAGTTTAGAAAATCAAATTGTCCCAACCACCACCACCACCACAAATCCTCCACAGCCAATTATAGTCCAACAAGACAATTCAAGTTTCTCCACTGGTATTGTTCTTGATGAATCGAATTTCTCATTATGGTCACAATTAATGGAGATGCGAATCGGAGCTCGAAACAAAATTGGATTTCTCACCGGCGAAACGATGAGACCAGCAGTTACGGATCATGGCTATGCAACTTGGATTACCGATAATCACAAAGTTAAAAGTTGGCTCATTGATTCAATGAGTCCTCCTCTGATGCATCGATTTATTCGACTTTCCACTGCCAAAGAGATATGGGAGGCTGTTGCAAAAACCTTCTATGATGGATCAGATGAAACTCGATTATTTGAACTAAATCGAAAATCTTTCACCACTACACAGGATGGTCGACCCTTGTCTACGTACTACAATGAATTAGTTGAAATATTTCAAGAAATTGACCACCGAACGACCGCACATGAGGCATCTGTTCAAGCAATTGTACATATGCATTCTATGATGGCCCGACTACGAGTTCACATATTTTTGAGTGGACTTGATTCTGGATTCAATCAAATTCGCGGAGAGATTCTACGAAAGGATCCAAAGCTGGATTTGGAAAGCACATATGCATATGTACGGAGAGAAGCACAACAAAGACAAATCATGGGAAGCTCCTCAATTCATGTCATGGGGAGTTCCAGGCCTGTCTCTGAAAGCTCAGCAATGGTAGCTCAACGAAACACACGGCGTAATAATCCATCCTCCGGAAAAGGTAGCAATTTCCTTTGCAGCCATTGTGGTGAAACAGGTCACTCGAAGCAACGATGCTACGAGATCGTCGGCTATCCAGATTGGTGGGATTTCTCTAAAAAGCCGCGAAAAACTATTACTGCTAAAGCCGCAGTAGCCACTCAAGAAGAAAAAATGCAGCCCGTTGCCAATATGGCCCAACAAGGTATCTCTGGTAAGGTTGATGTACTTTCTGCCACTTCTAAGAATAGCACTTGGATTATTGATACAGGAGCATCCGATCATATGACTAGAGATATTAACAATCTAAAAACTATTCACTCTTCATCTCAATCTGTTATCTCCACCGCAAATGGAGGTACTTGTCATATCATAGGGGAAGGATCTCTTGTATTATCTGACTCTTTGAAGCTTGATACGGTTTTGATTGTTCCAGCGTTGGATTATAATCTCTTATCAGTTAGCCAAATTACCTTATCACTTCATTGTACCGTAACGTTTTGGCCTTCTTTTTGTGTATTTCAGGACATTCTGACAAGGAAGACGCTTGGTTATGGTGTTAAACGGGACAAACTCTACCACTTGGAATTGACGGAGAATGGACAACATAAATTAGGTCGTGTATTTTATACAAGTGGAACTGAGAAGGTTCAAGCAGATATATGGTTATGGCATAGAAGACTAGGGCACATTTCTTTTGGTTACCTTAAGAGACTTCGACCGAAGTTGTTTTCTAATATTGATATTTCACAATTTCATTGTGATGTCTGTGAATTAGCTAAAAACCATCGAATTTCTTATTTGCCAAGTTCGAATAAATGCTCAAAACCTTTTGCCGTTATTCATTCTGATATATGGGGTCCGGCTAAGGTCTCATCAATTTCAAAAGCTCGTTATTTTGTGACTTTCATTGACGAATGCACGAGATTCATGTGGGTGTCCTTACTCCATAGAAAGAGTGATGCGTTTATTGCCTTTCAAGAATTTTATAACATGATACGTACACAATATCACCAAGAAATTCAAATTTGGCAAACTGACAATGCCATGGAGTTTGTTGACGCTTCATTTGGCAAATATCTGCGCAATTTGGGCATACGGCATAATACTTCATGTACTTACACCCCACAACAGAATGGTCTAGCGGAGCGAAAGCATAGGCAAATTATGGAGGTCGTAAGAGCATCACTATTTGGAATGAACATGCCACGATTTTATTGGGGAGAGGCGGTTAAATCAGCCGTTTACCTTATCAATCGGGTTCCTTCTCGAGTTATTGAATTCCAAACTCCTCAACAAAAGTTACAATCATTATGCTCAACTCCACATATACCAAATTTGGAACCAAGAGTGTTTGGTTGTACAGTGTATGTTCATATTCCAAAAGCCTTGCGTAGTAAATTGGACCCTTGTGCGAAACGCTGTGTTTTTGTCGGATATTCAGATTTTCAGAAAGGTTATAGATGTTATGATCCTCTCAATAAAAAGTTGCATGTTACGTTGGATGTTTCGTTTCGTGAAACCGAGCCATATTACAACAGCGAGGTTCCACGCTCATCTCTTCAGGGGGAGAACAAGCATGAAGAGTGTGAGCTTTCACAAGGAAATAATGGAATTTCAAGGAGCGAGAGTGAGACTGATTTTTTGGAGCTAGAGGTTGTGGCGGAAATATTCAATATTTATCAAAATTGTTTTGATCAACCACCGAGTTCTCATCCAACTGTAGATACTTCGATTCCTTTGAAATTAAATGAGAATGATGCAATAATGAAAAGTGAAGATGATGTCCCAGAAGAACCCGTTTTAACACCATTAACCGAGGAGCTTCCCCTGAATGTTCAAGACAATACTCAAAATCTGCCAGAATTTCACTCTCTCCCAAATGAGGTAGAATCCTGTGAATATTATCCTTCTATTTCTCGTTTTTCATCTAGATTAAATAAAGGTATCCCAAAGAAACATTATGAGCCTGACCTTAAAGCTACTGGAAAATATCCCATTAGTAATTATATCTCTAGTCATAGATTATTGGATTCATATGCTCTAACTGTCAAAGAATTGTCCAGAATGTCTATTCCTAGTAGTGTGCAGGATGCATTAACAGATGAAAGATGGAAAATTGCAATGAATGAAGAGATGAAAGCTTTGCAGAAGAATTCAACTTGGGAGTTGGTTCCATTACCTGAAGGAAAAAAGACAATAGGTTGTAAATGGGTGTACACCGTGAAGCTTAATACAGATGGAACTATCGACCGGTACAAGGCAAGGCTAGTGGCAAAAGGTTACACGCAAAAATACGGAATTGATTATCAAGAGACCTTTGCGCCAGTAGCTAAACTTAACACTGTTCGGATACTTATATCATTAGCAGCAAATCGTGATTGGCCTTTGCGACAATTCGATGTAAAAAATGCATTTTTGAATGGTGACTTGGAGGAGGAAGCGTACATGGATCTTCCACCAGGTGTGAAGCTAGAACCCATACATGAAGGAAAAGTCTGCAAACTAAAGAGATCATTATATGGGTTGAAACAGTCGCCTAGGGCCTGGTTTGGAAGATTTACGCAAGCAATGAAGTCTTTTGGCTACGAACAAAGCAACTCTGATCATACATTATTTATTAAACATAAAGAGAAGAAAATAACAGCACTGATCGTGTATGTTGATGATATGGTCTTAACAGGTGACGATCTTGAAGAAATGGAAAAACTACAGAATTATTTGGCCACGAAATTTGAAATGAAAGACCTAGGAAAATTGCGATATTTTCTAGGTATTGAAGTGTCTCGGTCAAAACAAGGAATTTCTCTTTCTCAACGAAAATATGTGTTGGATTTGTTGACTGAAACAGGAATGCTATCTTGCAAACCATCAGAAACACCGATGGAGATTAACCATCAACTTGAAATATCTTCGAACCAAAATTTGGTAGATGTGAGTCGTTATCAGAGATTAGTCGGAAAGTTGATCTATCTAACTCACACTAGGCCAGACATTGCTTACGCCGTGAGTATAGTAAGTCAATTTATGCAAGCTCCAAATGAAGATCATATGAATGCAGTTTATAGAATCTTGAGATATTTAAAAGGTGCTCCAGGAAAGGGGTTATTATACTCAAAGAATGAAGCGCCTACCATTGAAGGCTATACCGACGTTGATTGGGCAAGAGACAAATCAGACCGAAGATCTATCTCAGGTTATCTCACATTTGTAGAAGGTAATCTGGTTACTTGGAGGAGTAAAAAACATAAGGTTGTTGCTCGTTCTAGTGCAGAAGCGGAGTTCCGAAGTATGGCGCATGGTTTATGCGAGATATTATGGATTAAAGAAGTTTTAAAGGACCTTTCTGTTGATTGTTCACAACCTGTGAATTTATTTTGTGATAATAAAGCTGCAATTCAAATTGCAAAGAATCCAGTACAACGTGATCGCACTAAGCATGTGGAAATTGATCGATTTTTTATTAGAGAAAAACTTGATAAGAAGATCATTCAATTTCCATTCGTCAAGTCCGAAAGTCAGCTTGCAGATGTTTTTACAAAGACTGTTTCGGGTAGAACTTTTCATGCAATGATTGACAAGTTGGGCATGATAGATATCTACGCACCAACTTGAGGGGGAGTGTTGGCAAGAAAGATTTCATCGATCTTGAAGATTGTAGCAGATCACAATGATAGGAATTTACAGTTATTGAGAATATTTAGTTACTATAAATATGTAAACTACCTAGAATAAGATATACGATTCTTATAGCAAATACATGTATATATATTTACCTCATGAAGAGAAGAAAAATTAATTCCTCGAATATTGAGTTTCTACACAGATAGAGTAATAGAAAACTCAACAAAAGAAAATAAAATTATAACAAAGATTAAGAATTTGTCAAAACCGAAAAAAAGAACTTACTCAAAAATTTGAAGAATTGTCTTGCAGAGTTCTGCTATGGATTTCAATGATGTGTGAGCAGTGGTGATGAAAAGACTCGTAGGAGGGATATATTTTATGATGGTAGGGTTGGAATTTACAAGATTATTTATGGGTAAAAGAAATAAAAAAAATATTCAGAACTAAGTCTGACCGAATAAGCGTGAGAATTGCGGGGAAAAATGCTAGTTATTTCTTAAATGATTGTATTTTTTTAGATGTATATATATTAAAAAAATTAAGTTACATTTTATTCTAATTTTTTTTTTATATTATCGGAAAACTTAGCCCCCGATGTAAATGGCTCACGGTCTGCCCCTGCTATTCATGTAGACGAGGCCCATATGAGGTAGATAGTCCACATAAAAAAAAAAAAAAAAAAAAAAATTAGCTAGAAGTCCTTCTCATATAATTTTATTAGCATGCTTGATTTGTGTTTCGCATTATTTGACAAAAAAATTCCCGTATTTTAATTTACTAAAACTGTATATATTGATCTTCATGCTTGAATAATTAGGATTATTATTAAATATTAATATAGAGTTAAATTGAGATTAGGAGTTGTAGTTAGATTGTAACTAGGTTGATATTCCTACCTTATTATAAATAGTAGGGGTACCTACCTATATTCATGAGAGAATCAAATACAGATCGAATAGGAAGAATATTCCAAAATCCCCAATACGTACGTACGTGTTTGTGTGTTTCTGAAAAAAAAGATGTCGGTGGGAGAGATTGCATGCACATATGCTGCTTTGATTCTTCACGACGATGGAATCCCCGTCACTGCCGATAAAATAGCAACACTTCTAAAGGCGGCGAATGTGACCGTTGAATCGTACTGGCCGAGTCTGTTTGCCAAGCTTTGTGAGAAAAGGAACATCGACGATCTCATCATGAACGTTGGATCCGGTGGTGGTGCTGCTGCTGGTGCCGTCGCGGCGGCTGCTCCTACCGGAGGCGCTTCTGTTGGTGCTGCTGCTGCCCCCGCCACCGAGGAGTCAAAGGAGGAGGAGTCAAAGGAGGAGGAGAGTGATGAGGATTTGGGTTTCAGTTTGTTTGATTAGCTGTTTTTTTCTTTTCTTCTTTTTCTATAATCTTGTTTTAATTATTATTGCAGAATTGTTCTCAGAGAGTAGTTTGAGATGATAACTACCTCTTTTTAGGGTTTCGTTTTTTTAATTTATGAAGTTCAATTTTGATTTCAGACTCCTGACCTTCGATTTGATTAAAAAAAATACAAATCAAATTAATCATGATACTTTTCTAAGTACTCTAAGATGGTATCGGAGTCATACTGTTGTTTTTTTTGTGTTTATTCATCTTTCGCTCGATTATACCAAATACCGAAATAGACATAAACCACCACTCTTTGATTTGTCATTACAATTTTGTTTGTGGTGTTTCTTCTTATTCTCACGCTTCCGCCGCAACGGAAAACTCTATAAAGTTGTAGCTCTTAATTTCTTTGTGGTCTTATTTTTGTTATTTCTTCATCTTTCGCTCGGTTTACGCGAGACGGAGAACAACATTAATCACTGTTATTCATCGATGAATTTACTTTTTCCTAATCAGTCTTAATATTTTTTGTGTTTCTTCGGCTGTATTTGAAAAAAGTAAGCACTGTTAAGTTTGTTTAATTATTATATATCTGAATGATACAATATTACTACATTAACCCTATAACTAAATCTATTTACTAGTTGAATTATTAATAACATCTAAAAATATTGTTTTATTTACTAATAAAATCATAACAAAAAATGTGGAGTCGAAAAACAACATAACTTTTTTTCTACTATAAAACAATTTGATTAAAATCAAAGATTTTTTTTTCTTCATCTCAGATCTCATTTTCTTTGAAAGAATTTATGGTCCCGAATTCGTTTAATACAGAGGTGTTATATTAAGTGTTATGACACTTGTATAAACATGCAGCGGAGATATAAAAACAATACTCAGATTTAAAAATGTTCACAAGTAAAAACTTGTGAACTTGCCATTTAAAGGACGTAAAACTTATATTAAAACAGTATTACAAGAATACAAAGAGAAGAAGTACATGAACTTCTTCCTTATGAATGAATCACTATCTTGATCATTCTTACAACCAAATCTAGAAACATAAAAACTATATACTAAAAAATCTAGACTACAAAGAATGTACTCATGAGGAGTACGTACAACAGATTCTAAAAACACACTAATACTCTCATGTATTCTTTTTAGCTCTCGGTTTTTGTTTCTTAGAATCCATCAAATTTACTTGAGTCTTGAAGCCGGTATTTATAGACATTCTAAGCTTCCACTTCTCAGCCCATGATCTGCAAGAAAAACCGACTATAAGAACACTCAAGAACATGGGTTAGTGGGTTAGTTTAGTAGTGAAGATAATATCCTCAATTTAACCCACTAAGCATTATACTTAGCCCACTAAGTATTATACTTAACCCACTAAGCACTACTTATTCCATAACTAAAATTTAGTTAGAAAATAAGAGAGTTAAAAATAAATTGTGGAAATCCACGTGTTTCAAACTCCCTCTTTTTAACTTTCTGATCAAAACTAAATTTTAGTTTAACTCCCCCTGAATTTGATAACCAATATAGCAAACAACAAAATATTGAAAATCAATTAAAAAGCAAATCAATCCAACAAAAGTGCAATCATAACATAAAAGTTCAGAGGGAAAATAACAAACTGAACAAAAACAAATATTGTTCATAAAAATAACTTTAAAGCAGAATATCCAAAATCTCCTCAGTATCAGCTGTTGTTCCTCCATCACTAGCACTGGACCCACTGCTTTCCTCTGCTCCTTCAGCTTCGCCATCATTCTTTTCTTCTTCTTCATTAACTCCATGTGCTCTGCCTCTAGCATCCAAAGGATGAGAAGTCCCTGCTTCAACTTCATGACCAGCTTGTTCTCCCCCTTTTTGATCAGAAAGAGCTCTCTGGAGCATTTCCACCATGGACTGATGATAGGTGATCTGAGCTAGGGAGTGAGCAAATTGTTTTAACAAAAGATCTCGAGGAACAGAGACAAGGATGTCAGAGGTGTTGTCAACATGAGGAGCAACACCTTCAGTACCAAGATTATTTTGACCTGATTCAGTTGGGAGAAAATTATCTCCATTCCAGGGAAGAACTTGGACATCCAATGAAAAAGGGGCCATCTTTTCTAAAATCGGAAATCTATTTTTCAGAACTCCATAAGTTCGTTCATTGACATTCCTTAAGTTGAGCATGAGCAAGGTTAAATTTTTCTTCTTTAGTCAAAGCACGTCTACGACGATAGTCCCCTAACCAATATCGCACATTGCGATACGGAACCATAAATCCTCTAGTATGTGTGTATGCTGCATCACAAAGATAGTATTTACCTGTAATAATAATAAAAATAATTCAAGATCAGATTTAACGTATAAATGATTAGAATTTATAATTTGAATTTAAAGTAATACCAGCAGGAGGCCATGGAAAACCGTTTGTCGGATCAGCAACTGTATCTGTTAAGACTCTTGAATCATGTGTTACCCCTTCCCAGCCTGCCCAAACGAATGTAAACATCATATTAAAGTCGCATATTCCTAAAACATTTTAATAGCATTGGCCCTTTCCTCTACCCCTGTACATAGTTTGCTTTGAAATTGGAACAACGGCATGTACTAGTGTTCCATCAAGTACAATTTTATAAGAAAAGAGCGTATTAGTGATAAATTTTTTGAGGGGCTTGATCAACCCAATATGCCTTTTGATGGTGCGAATGAGGATGGACAAGACCACGAGAATGATGATACAACTACCGGACCATGGTGGGGGGTCGATGACATGCAGTATATGGCTAATGTTCGCGATGAGATAGCAACTCGATTGATGCATTGAGCGAGTGACCAATTAGAATTTATTAAATATTTGACGTTGAATTAGCGACTTTAATCTTTTAGGTCAATTTTAGCGACTTTAATGTATTTCCATATTTTAACTATTTTTATTTGTGAATATTATATTTATTACTTGTTTGAATTTTATATTTTATCTATGTTAAATATTTTAAATTTCAAATTTTATTGATTATATAGATCATGCTTAATTTTATTTTTATTTATATATGTTAATCAAAATTAATTAATTAACAAATAAAACGCCAGCATTAAATAAGGGTATAATAGGAAAATAACAATATTCAGACATTCAATTATCAAATGAACTTAATTGCTCAGCATTCAGCATTCAGACACAACTCTTATCCATTCAGACACGTATTCAGCATTTAGCATTCAACGCTTAATCCTGTCAAATGGGTCCTAAGTGGCTTCTAAAGAGGTATTTTGGTATAAAGAAAATAGTGGATCTACTTCTAATATTAAAAATATGGCTGGATCACTAATTGCCCGTAATTTATAAATCCTAGCTGTTCAAAATATTTCCACAAAATATATATTTTGATGATTTAAAATTATTCAATATTTAATATTTAATATTTTTTAATTAACATATTTATGTGTTCATATTAAGGTTATAGAGATTCTGTTGTATTTTCCTAAATATAAAAACAAATATTTATTAGGGTAAATTACAAAATTCCACTGACTTAGACTAAATAACGAAAAATACCCCCATCTATCCGTAATAACTAAAACCCTCATCTGATTAACTATTGGTCGAGTTTTTGAAAAGACATGTTTACAGTCAATTATATCTTTTGTTAAATAGGTGAGAAATAAAAAGAAAATATCAGAAATAGTGTAAAGTATTTTCCCTGGAATAAAAAAAAAATTGTGAAAAGTCACACACTCACACTATAAGGGGTTGGTGGAAGACGGATTAAGGGGGGTTTTGGTAATAACAAATAGGTTGGGTGTTTTTTGAAATTTGATCTACGTTTAGGGGGTTTTCGTAATTTACCCTATTTATTATAATTTTGCTGTGTTAGCAAATACGCAATTCTGAAGGGGGTAAAATAAGCAAAGTTCGAAACCTCAAGGATCTGGATGTAAATAAGCGGTGAACTCTTCACCAAGCACTACTCCTCCACGGTGCTCTATTTTGCTTGAGCTTCTGCAATTATAAACCCTAGTAGCAAAATTCCCCTCCAAATAATCATCGTCAAATTTTCAGAAATCAGTATCAGAACAAACAAAAATGGTGGCGACGAATTTGAAAGCAGAGACAATGAAACTAATGGACAAACGGAGCGATATGGAGGCGGAGTTGAATATCATTATCGAGCGCCTCTGCCAGCCCGGCGGCCCTGGCCTCTCCGGCAACCTCCTCGATTCAGAGGCAATAATTCCTTAATTAATTTTTATTATTATTTTCCGCCGGTGTAGGTTTATTTGTTTGTGTTGATTTTATTAAATGTTAGCCTTTTTGATCAATTTTTGTAATTTTGATAGTTTTAAATTGAATAAGCTAGAAAAGCTAGAAAAAAGGATGAATTAATTTAATTTGTTTAGTATTGAAGATTAGGTATTGAGTTTAATTAATATTTGGGGTTGTGCAGGGGTTTCCCAGGTCGGATATCGATATTCCGACTGTTAGAGCCGACCGGCACAGGCTTGCTGGTAATTTACTGCACTATGTTTTGCTTTTACGATCGTGAATACAATGTTTTGTTTTTGTTGGTAATCAGATTAATCGTGTTTGTCACGACTGTATTTTCGTTAGCCGTTAAGAACGAGAACCGTATAATAAGCTGTACTTCTGTTTACGTTTTTTCTTTTGCTACAGAGCTTCGAAGTAATCACAAGGATATTACAGAGAAGATAAACCAGAACATCGAACTTCTGCATTCTGCAAAACTTACACCAACAACTGCTGCTGTTGCAGATTCAGGTTAGTGACTCATCGAATCGAGAAGCACGCTTGTTTATTAAAAAATACAGTAGAACCTCGATAAAATAATACTCGATAAATTAATAACCTCAATTAAATCAATTAAATAATAGTTTCTCTCGGTCCCGACTCGGTGAAAACATGTTTAACTATTAACTCGATAATTTATAATTCACTAAGTTAATAGAATTCCCTAGTCCCGACTGTATTAATTTATAGAGGTTTAACTGCACTCATGATTTAAGTATAAATTGAAAGTATGATGTGATGCTACAGGGACGAAAGATCAAGTTTTAAGTACCGGTACTTCTTTGTCTGTCAACAATCCTGTTGTTGCCATGGACGTGGATTTAGTTTTGAGCAGACCGTTTGCAATGGTCGATGAAATCAACGAGGCATCTCCAGCGGCAGAAGACGGTTTACAACTCGGGGATCAGATTGTGAAATTCGGGAATGTCGAAATAGGGGAGAACGTGCTGCAGAGGCTAGCCGCTGAAGGACAAGAAAAACAAGGGCAAGCAGTCCCCTTGGTTGTGATGAGGCAAGGGTCGGTGATTAATATGACAGTCACTCCTCGAGCATGGTCTGGCCGTGGTCTACTCGGGTACGTTACATTCACTTGTCATGTGTATTCATTTCATGTCTTTTTTTTAAGTTTATTATTTACTTCTTGCCATGCATTCTTGAATTTAAATAGTCTATTTGAAGCAATTGAAAAGTTTGTGAGGATAGTTGAAGAACTCGTTGTCATTTATAGGGAGGGATTTTTAAACAATATAAGTAATATATCAAAGAGAAATGTATATGAACAGATCCTTGATAACTGATAAAGAGGTTTAAGATACTGTGGCTTCAACGATATGCAATGGAACTATCTGGAGTCACTAGCTCTTTGTGAATTTGTCCTATGAATCTATGATAAGTTGGTATTATGATTTCAGTATCCGTGAGTTCTAGTTTTTCTTTGAAAGTTAAGTGGATGGCTAATCTGTTTTTCATTTACTTTGTAATAGTTGAATCTGAAGGTTTCCCTATCCGTAAATAGCGTATATGACTCTTTTCAGCTTTTACCTCACATTCAACATTCAGAATATAATTGTTTACGGCTTTTTTTTAGTTTAATAAAAATTCAAATCCCCTTACAAAGGGGAAGTAGGGGAAGGACATGATTTGCATAACTCTCGTAATGAGGGTTGATCGGATTGGGTACTGAATTATGATTGTGCTGTTTTTTATTTTATTTTTTTCCTTCTCTTAAAAAAGGTTTAAATTCGGTTGTGTGAGAAGTATTTGATTTCATTATTCATTGTCAGAAACGTATTAAGTTTCGTAATTCAAATGAATGGATTCAAGTAAACGACAACTTATTTAGACAAACAGTATCTTCCATGTTCAATCAGTAGATCACCCTGTTTGTGTTTTTTGATATGTTGGTATGAATGGAATTGGCAAAAGACCTCTATTTTGCATGTTAAGCCTACTTCTGTCATGAATACTTACTGGTTCACCATATTAATATCCCCATTCTTTTTTATGCACTCTCATAAAGTGAATCTTCTGTGTGTGAATGTGTCTTCCTTGGTTCCAATGTTGAATAACGACATGACTAAATGCTTTCTGAAAATTGTCACTGGTATTACTCATTTACGGTCGTGGTACTATTTAAAAAAATTATTGTTTGTGATGAATATATTTTCGTAGTAAAGTACTCTCTGATGTGTGGGAAATATTATTCGCAGGTGTCATTTCCGAGTCTTATGATGTCAATATTGTTCGGTGCCGCTTAAGGCTGGTGAAGATGTGCGAAGAGGTGAATTTTTCTGTTTCTCTTTTTCGGGGAGAAGTATGTATAAACTCGAATAGATACATGGGCACAATCACAAATTATATAGCTTTCGCATATTGGTAATAATGCTGTTGGGAGATTATCTAAATCATGTGTGTATCTATCTTTTCTGCATATTAAATTTTAAATATGGTTCAAGTTGTTGTGCTAACATGAGATATCTCAAGTCACAGGCCACTTATGGCCAAAATTGTGTTTGATTAGGTCTGTTTAGGCCAGGTTAGTTGGGCAAAATTGTGTTCGATTATTGCAGGTGCTGCGGATAAATTATCATGGAAATTGGAAAAAAGAAAAAAGAAAAAAAAAAAAAAAATCGGAACTTCGTACCTAGAAATGGAGTGACTATAATGAAAACTAGTAGAATACAGTCTAATGTTCCCTCTGTTTCTTTGCAAGTGTTTCTTTTCAAGTGATGTTAACAGTAGATGTACCAATTAAAAAAATTATTCAATAGCTTTGATTGTAGGAGGGGAAGATGTTATTCGATGAAAATTACTTCTGTGACTTCTACAAATAGAAAGGCGACAGAAGCCGAAATTGAAATAAATTCAAACATACGTGAAGCGAGCTTCTTGTTCAAAATCCACTAACCTGAACGATAAAGAAGTTTTAACGTAGACAAACTGCTCGTTAAGAAATATATATGATGATCTAATTGAAGTTTTCGAATATACATATGTTGAAAAACAACTGTCTGTTTGAATCAAAGATGTTTCTCCTAGTATACTCTCACAGTCTAAGCAGTATTCAACACCACAGAGTTGACCACATTTGACTCATCTGATCCGGAATAACTTACATAAATGCCTGCAGCCACTGTTACACTCTCTACCACAACAATTAATACACGTCACACTAAAAAAAGAGGAGGAATAATTTTCAAATGGATTATACAAAATGCGCATCATCTACTCAAGCTGAAGCTCGTACAGTTCAATCGTTCAGCGGGGCTTGATTTCAAACTCAATGCTCAAAAGGGTTTTTGGCGATTCCGATATTTTGTCTCCGCCAAGATTAAACGATTCGCCACTCAATTGTCCTTGTTTGTCAACTGACCACTGTGTTTGACTCGGATAAACTTCCGACTTGTTATTTTGCAAATTAGCCGCAGAAACAGAGGCACTCTTTGGACCATTGGACTTTCTTGGTAAAGGGATGTCGTGATCATGCACTCCCTTGTATGATATCACTACAGCACTTGCATTATCCATTGACCTCTCGGTTTGCTTACGAACTGGACATCCGCTTGATGTACATCTGTAGTAGTTTCTGCAAAATTTTCATGCAAGAGGTGATTACAAGAAATATATAGCAAAACATTTGTTTTTTTATCTGGTAAAAAATAATCTTGATTTGTCCGGTGAAAAAATAAACTCCAGGCGTGTACGAAACAAGGTAGGCCGATGATGAATTTTCACAAAGTCAACGATCATTTAACCATAGTCTATCAATACTTTGGTTCCCGATTCTTGAAAGTAAAGGTTCATAAAAGAATGGTGAATAAATGACAAAATATTAAGATCTATTAAATAGATTTCTGATTTACTGAGCACTGAATGATGAAACAGCTATTTAGGATAATCAAACGGACCAGGTGGTGCAGAATGGTGATTTGAAGATGTTTCCCAAAGAACTAGCGAGGGCAATTAATTCCGCAATATTAAGCTAGCTTAAGGGTTGATATTATATTGAAATGTAACACTAAAGACTCGAAATTTACCTTGGATGAGGACTCCCCTTCACCATTTTCTGTCCATATTTGCGCCACCTATAGCCATCACTTGATATGCCGACATCACCAGTCTCGTAAACAACACATTTAGATTTCTTTCCAGTTTCCGAAAGGGACACCAGTTCACGCTCTGAACTTCTCTTCTGCCTGGCAATCAGTATAGATGAAACACTATCAAATTAATAAGGTAGCATCATAACTCTGAAAAAAACGATGATTAATAATGTAACTAGAAACTTGCCTTCTCTTGTACTCAGGTCCATTAGCCTCCTCCCTAGTGTTAGTAACCGTGGTCTCATCGGAACCGCATGAATCTTGATGCTTCGTTTCATGTATCTGGTCAACTACTTGTAAAGATGTCATTGAATCATTATAATGTCTAGCTAGATGAGTTGTACGGTCCTGATTCCAACTAATTGGCATAATTGGTAATGCAGGCATATTATTTTCTCTAGTGCAATTTACTTCTTGGGGAGGACCATGATTGTGGTGAATTCTATAAACAATCTCTACGACACGGTTAGAACGATCGCAGCACTCAATCTTCTTAGCAGTACAACCATAGAATGTGCATCTGAAATAGCTTCTAGAACCTTCTGGACTCTTTACTTGCTTTTGACCATACTTGCGCCAGTTGTACCCATCAGGGGTTTTCAGCGTAGGCACGGTGGATAACGGTTTTGGGCCTGGAGAATTCTGCTTGTCCTGTTCTTTAAAGCATGTTAAGATCCCGTTCTCGACTGCCTGCAATTCTTTTCCAGATGTTGTAGACTGTTCTAACTTGGATTCACCATTGGGTAGCTGTACCTCAACTTGGGAAGATTGACCACTGATACAGTTCGAAGGTTCCTCGTTTACTTGATTCTGAAGCAACAATAGAGACACGATGGGGTCGGGTTAGATTTATATAATTACATAAATGCATTCTTGGTTACTTCAGAATCTAATATAAAATTGATCATGCACAAAAAATGGGATTTGCTATTATGCGAACAAATATTCAGTAGGCTTCATCCATAACATCATTCTCATCAGCCTACAGAATGGCATCAACAACATAACGAATTTTGCTGATGTAAATGATAATTGTTTAGATAACGTACTAAGTTATTTGAGTGTCAACGGGATATAATCAAAAAAAAAAGTCAGAACACGATAACTTATCGACTTAACTGTCTGAACGAGTGAAAAACAGATTAAAGAAAATAACACTTTTGCAATACAAGATCAGTTCCGCTGCCATGACTGTTACCTAACCTCCTTTTCGTTTCTCTTCCACGGGATACACTAAGATTCATGCATGAAGGAAACGAGTGGCGGAGAATGTAGAAAAAGTAAAGTTATATCTTGAAATAATGTAATGAGAACAGTTCTTCCATTCAAATAAAGTTAGCTGACTCATAACGTACATCTATCTACAAGTTTTTCCTCCCAGACGTATGGCAAGTGGACCTCAGCCTATAAACTGAAAACAAAAATCGGATAAACGGAACGCATCCATTTAAAACACTTCAATCAAGAGTTTGATCGCCGAGTCGTGCACAACTCTAAAACCAAAAAAAGAAATCCCTAATTTCATCATATCCTAAAACAAAATAAAAACCTTAAAACAATTGAATTTTTTAACATTCTGCCCAATTCAGCACAGGTTCAAGTTAATTGAAAATAGCAGCAATAACGCAATTCCGTCTCGTAATAAGAATCACTCTCAGCAAATATCACCCCTTTTCGTCTTTTCAAACGATATTAAATAATATTTTTAATCAAAACTAATTAGTCTGAACGTTAAGAGAGGTTCTAACCTTCAATTCTCCGCCGGACTGAGGTGGTTGCGGGGAGTATTCCACCGGAACCTCTGCACATTCAAAATTAATAAAAAAATCAGCGTTAATTTTACTCAGTTTATCCAATTCGGACGTACAAAAGTAAGCGTACATATTCAAGTGATCGATCATACAAAATTATCCACAAAACGCAGAACAAAAAAGAAATAACCTTCAGAGATACCGGCGAGAAATTCCGGTGATTTCTCGGAATCCGACTGGGTACTCCGATCAGACATCTGTACGGAAGTTAGGGTTTCGGATTGAGAATGAACACAAGCTCCGTCACCTGCACAATTACTGCCGCTCACTCGTTCCTGCTGCTCATCGTTTTCATCGAAATTCTCACAGTGGTTGTTACCTTCGTCTACATCGTGCGCCGTTATCGAATTTCCTTCTGCAATTTCTCCATGGGAGAAGAGATTATTCTCTGTTTCCATGGTCGATTCCTACACACAGTGAGTGTGAAACTGTGAGTGCCTGCTTTGTCACTGACAAAAAGTTCTTTTCTTTTGTTGCAATTGAACTGTTTATAGCAAGTTATACTGTAATTTAGGATTTTGTGAAAAGACGAGAATACCCCTGGTTAAAACGTTTTTTTACCGGGGCTGATGGAGAAAGCTGTTGCCTCGTGTGGGGTAAATTAGTCATTTCGGAAAAGGTAATATTGCTGATAAAACTTTTATGGTAGTGTGACTAGGAAATTTCATTAATAATATTTTCGACATTTATTTCGGTGGGCTTTTTTGGGCACTGCTGCTCTTTATGTTTCTTTGACTTGCTGTTGACTTGTCTTGACTCTTTGACTCTTGACTCTTGACCATTATTTATTGTTTGAAATTCTTTTAAAATTATTTTATTTTCAAAATATAAAGGCAAACAAATATTATTTTATTTACAAATTATTTTCCCAAACATCTTTACCGAAAATAAAATGGAAAAGCAAGCCGAAAAGCTACAAGTCGAGCAATTTTGAGCCATTCCGAATGGCTAAATATTGGTAGGATTTTTTATTTTTTAATTATATATGGCGCAAATGATAAAAAATTGAATAAAAAAAAATTGAATCGAACAAAAGTTTTTGAAATGATGTCATTTTGTTTATTATACATAGCATATATAACATTGTTTAGGGTCGAGTTTGGTACATTTGCCCTATCAAACCCCTTATCGCATTATCATTATTGAAATTTTGGTATTACAAATTTCTTTCTTAGTGTCGTACCAAAAACTTTTTTGTCTATCAAAAATTTGGTATACCAAAATACAGTAGTGGTACGGTAATGATTATTAGTTATTACCAATTTATATTCAATTATTTTTCTAAAAAAATTCAAGGTATAAATATATTTTAAATGCTCATAACTAGGATTGAAGGTATATGCATCGTCAATAGTCAGCATATGTTACTGACTTACTTAGAATACAATATTTATAAAATAAGGCGAATGAGAAAAAGGTCCATCGCATGAGACTTAAATGCACGATCTAAAAAAACAGTCTCTCAATTAATCTCATTCCCATGTCTTTAGTCTAAAATACCCTCTATAATACAGGTCTTATCAATTCCATTCATTATGCTCTAACTTTCTTAATATTACACATTGACCCCGAATTTAAAAAAATATATCACATTAATCCCCAAAATATTTTTTTTCTGAAATTTTTTTTTCCGGCCAAATTCCGGCGTTGACTTTTTTTTTTTTTGAAAACTTTTTTTTTTTTCTGAATTTTTTTTCCAGCCGGTCAACCACGCCAGTCTCCGGCATTGACTTTTTTTTTTTTCTCTTTTTTCGAATTTTTTTTCTTAGAAAAAAAATATGTTAATTAATGTTACTGTCTTGGCTACTAAATTACTATCTCAGAGAGTAATATTACTGTTTGGGACAGTAATATTATGAATATTATTTTTCCGAACAGTAATATTATTAATATTACTGTCTGAGACAGTCAAATTACTGTTGGAGACAGTAATTTAGCAGCCAAGACAGTAATATTACTTAAAATAATATTTTTCAATAATTTTTTTAAAATTAACAGTTAAATTACTGTCTCCGACAGTTAAATTACTGCTGGAGACAGTAATTTAACAACGGATACAGTAATATTAATTAAAATATTTTTTTTAAGAATAAAAAAGTCAATTAACAGTTAAAATACTGTCTCCGACAGTTAAATAACTGTTGGAGACAGTAATTTAGCAACGAATACAGTAATATTAATTAAAATATTTTTGAAAAAAAAAAGTCAATTAACAGTTAAATTATTGTCTCTGACAGTTAAATAACAGTTATAGATAGTAATTTAGTAGCCAAGACAGTAATATTAATTAAAATATTTTTTTAAGAAAAAAAAAAGTCAACGCCGGAGACCAGCGGTCTCCGGTGGTGGCGGGTCAAAATTGAAATTAAGATTAAAATTAGTTAATTAATGAAATTGGGCTAAATTGGGGGTGTAAATCATGAAATTGGAGTTGAATTGAGTTTCAATGAATTGGAGATAATTTTGGTATATATAAAAAGATTTTCCTTATTTGCAAATAAGTTTGAATGAACTGAATTTATTTGAAAGACAAAAAAGTTGGATGTCCCTCTTTTAATTAAGTGCCCTTGTCATGGACCTATTTGCCATTTGCCCTATAAAATAAAATTATAACATCAATTTCTTAACATCAATTATATCCCACTAGTGAGCACATTCAAAATATTCTCGACACACTTAATTTTAGATAATAATAGTTATTTTGCACACTATATGTTCTCTACTCATATAAAATAAATTAATTATTAGAGTATACTTGCATTTTTTATTTATATGTAATATTTTGTACGGTAGAGCAATGCATGGTAATAATATTGGATAACATTGTCGTACTTAAATATTTCGGTACAGTACAATAATCTATTGTTATTCTATAGATAATAAGTATGCATGGTTGGATAGGACAATCATTTGGTAGAGTAATTCAGTAAAACAAATCCCCTTTAACATTATCGTACCACATTTTTCACTTTCTATCTTACTGCTACTAGCCTACTAAAAAAATGAAACCAATTTGAATCAAACTATTATGAAAACAAATCTATTTCATTTTAAATCTTAATAAAACTGATGCAGTTGAGTCATAATTAAAAGTCAAACGTTAGAGTCAAATGCTTCACAAAGATATTCTTTTTGATATATTACAGTTACCCCATAATGTATGGTTAAATTATGAAAAAAATCATTTTATTTGGATAATTACAACGACTCCTATCTTAAGAGGTGGTTGTAATTTAAATATCTTAGAGATGATTATAATTTACCACGTTATTTTTATTACATATCACCATTCTGCATGGATTCTATTTTTATTTATTTATAAATACATTCTGTAAAGTTTTCTCTTCTATATCATCTTTTTCATATGTATTTTTCTTTAATATTTTATTCTTATCTTATTATACTATCTTGTATATATATATTTTTTAAACCAGCTCTAGGTATTGATCGAATAGCTGGAGATTCTCTTGTAGAATTGAACGAGGTCAATCATAACTGCTCTCTATCATTTAATAGGTTGGCGAACGATGACATCGGCTTTATCGGTTCTGAGATTTCAGAATCCCTATGCAAATTTAGAAGGATGATCCTAGGTCACGAATCTTTTATTTCAAATTTTAATATACCAAACATATGTTTACAACTCTACTTGGATGATTTACAAATGAAATGTTACTCATATTTAGTATTCCACCTCCCTAATTGATGGTATGATTAATCTTATACTACGGTTCTGAGCGATTTTTTAGAACATTTCATATTGTAGTTACATTCTAGTATAATCGAGAGGTTTTAAAGAACTCTCCGAATTATTTACAATTTGGTGACAAGTTCCTACTAGGGATGGCAATGGGGCGGGTATGGGGTGGGTTTTGCAATCCCCATCCCCGCCCCGCTATGGAAATCCCCATCCCATCAAAAATTCCCACGGGTATTAAAAGAATCCCCATACCCGCCCCATAAAATCCCCACGGGTATCGGGGCGGGCAAAAATCCCCGTCTATTTTTTTTCTTTTTTCTTAATAAATAAATATGCAATTTAATTATAATTTAAAAATTTATTTCAACAAATAAATCAATATTTAATTATAATACTAATATTTAATTATATAACGGAAACCGAAAAATCCCCATTTTTAACTAATATTTAGTATATTACTACTATTTAATTATTTATATTTAATATAATAATTAAAAAATATATATTATATATATAAATAATGCGGGGCAGGTACGGGGACGGGTACAGGGCGGGTCTACGGGGCGGGTATAGGCAAACTCATCCCCGAACCCGTACCCGGTCAAAAAAAAATTTCAATCCCCATACCCGTCCCATTTTTTTTCGGGGCGGGTAATACCCGAAAATTTCAGGGCGGGGCGAGGCGGGGATCTGTCGGGGCGGGTCAAATTGCCATCCCTAGTTCCTACCTACAAGCGATCTACTTAGGGACTAAAGATCTTTCGGTTTTTTTTTTTCAAAATTATTTTAATGAAAACCTCTTTAGCCAAATAATATAGGGGTTTTTATTGCATAAGTGCATGACCAACCATCTTTATTATTCTAGGTTTATGGGCTATATTTTTTTCCCTGATATTACCCATCCCTTTAATATGCAGGGGAAATGAGTGATACCCCTAGTTTTGAAAATATATATGAGGAGGTCCAATGAATTTTTTTGTCCTAGTCAAAAACCCAAATTTTGATCTTAAATTTTCAGACCCTCGAGGCCAAAGGATATGACCGTTTTACCCTTATTAGGCATTTTTTAGAAAATAAGACCAATGAAATCACGATCTCTCTCATTTGATTTTCTCTTCCCCATCTAAACCCTAACTTTCTCTTCTCCCCAACCTAAACCTTAACTTTCTCTCCACCCACAGCCCCTCCGCCCCCAAGCGCCGCTCCTCACATACCTAGCAACGCCCCACCATCTTATCTCAATCCGTCCGCTTCAAACCCGCCGCAACAAGATTTGAAGCCAAAGTTCAAGTAGGGGGAACGACAATTGTATTGCAGTCTGCTCTTGCGAGTGGATTCTCGATCCGGTGGTCGGCTGAGAACGACAACTACGATGCATGTGCAAGATCCGACGGCGCGTGCGGGTACAATCAGGATGCGCGTCGTTTGATTGTAGTCTGCTCTTGAAGGGTGGATTCTCGATCCGGTGGTCGACTTAGAACGTCAACTGCAATACCTATGCCAGATCCGGTGGCGCGTGCGGGTACAATCAGGATGCGTCGTCGTTTGGTTGCTATTGCAGTGACGGGCGTGTGATAGCAGTTGCAGCGACAATACCCCACCCGATGGAGGAAACAATACGTGTATCTGATTCTTCATTTTTTACAATATTATATATTTCTACCTGATTAATAAAAATAATAGCTACGGTGTGAATTATCTCTGCACTTCTTTTTTACAATAATGCAGTCCCCCCATAATTAATATTATTTTAATCACAGGTTTACCTAATGTCAATCTTTGTAATAAATGGAATCATTATTCACACATACAAACTTGTTCATCCTCTTAACATATATTTATG